AGTGGGAGACCTGGATGGAGTTCCTGGCACCTATCTTCAGCCCAGACCAGTCCTAGCTATTGGTGAGCATTTGGGGAGTGAACCAGTGGTTGGAAGAGATCTCAGTCTTTCTCTCTCTGTCTCTGTCTCTCCCTCTGTCACTCTGCAATGTTCACAAACGAAAAGAAAGCAAGCCTTACAGGGATCCCAGGGATCTTCTAGGTCAAGTGAAACATAATCTCTGTGAAGCTTTCCTTCATCTTTCAAATCATAATTACTCCTAGTAAGCGTTCTCATCATTTTTGTTTACACACCTTTTTAATGGCAGGAGAACAGAGATACCTGAATCACTTTCTCAGAAAAAGAGTGAATGAGCAAGTGGATGGAAGATTTCCCTGTGTCTGTCTCTATCTGCCTTTCAAATAAAATTAAAATTTTAAGTATATTACAAATCTGCTAAGGAATAAAAGTCCATCTTCCTGTAGTGGAGCCATGGAATAGGTTAAATCACCCCTCACCACGCGCCAGCACACCCATTCCCACTCTAGCCCCCCCAGTACACACCTGTTCAAAAAGGCAGATGATAAAGAAGCCAGGATACCACGCAGTGTCTGCATTGTAGTAAACTGATTTTAATACCTTTTCTCAGAGGAATTCAAAACCCTCTGTCTCAGTCCATCCACATTATATTATTATTATTATTATATATTATATATATTATTATATATTATATAATCCTTATTATAAATACAAAACTAGAAGCATAAAGATCTTAAGAAACATGTGTCCATCCCATATTTGAGATCATTGTCTTAATAGTTTGCTGGCATGAAACCATATTTGGAGCTCAGGACTCTTACCATGAGTTCAAATGTTTGTTTTAGCTAAAAAATATTTGTTTTAATTGGAAATCATATCCAAAACAAGCAATGATTTTAATAATTGAAACAAAGGAGCCATTTTCTTTGAAATTCTCTCTTTTAAAAAAAAAAGTGCAGGGAATACAACGGCACAAATCCAATGTACATAAACAGAGGACAATCTGAATGAGCCAACTGGCAGACACTGGTTTAAATTGTTCCCAAAGTTTTATTCTCTCAGATAGAGGAAGAGATGTAGATGCTAACTAGTTGACCATAGATGGAGAATTAAAGAAGTAAGCAAGGCTTTTCACATGCCCACTTCAGGCAAACAATTGTGCTTGCTGTAATGATTGGACTCAGAACTAAATAAATCAAGTTTGGGAGAGATGATTCACTTTTAAAAAGATTTTCTATAGGTTTCCTTTAAATTAAGAGTCCCCATGATATATTTAAAGAATGATTCAATTTACAGAAATTCTATTTTAGTCTAAGCTATCAAGAAAGCATCTAATTTTAATAAAACAAGGTAGAAAATGAATTCAATGTACATTAAACTGTAATAGGTTCTATAATGAAACAGTAATATCCTAAATAGAAAAGTGAAATTACTATTAGTGGAGATAAAACTACCATATTGTACATTTGCAAACATCTCAGAAACAGTTAAGCAGAAAGCATCTACTGAATGCTAACCAACCCCAAGGCGGGAGAATCAAAGAAAAAACTTCAAAGGTTCTGTAACAGTGATAGGTAAAAAGACCAGTTGTTTATATGCCAGTGAGTGAGGAAAGAATGTTCTGAGAAGCTCACCCCCACAACACCTTCGATTAATTTCCTTGCTTTAGTTGCTTCCCCTTCCCCATAACCCTGAGAACACTGTGCTTTCACTGCAGTTCTCATGCACAATTAGAATCCAACACAAGGCTGACAAAGACACATTGGAAAGTTTTAGATTAAAATCCAGCACTAAGAAAGAGAAAGCTTCAAAATTCTAGTAATGGGGACAGTGCTGTGGCATAGCTGGTAAAGCCGCTGCCTGCAGTGCTGGCATCCCATATGGGAGCCAGTTTGAGTCCCAGCTGCTCCTCTTCCAATCCAGCTCTCTGCTGCAGCCTGGGAAAGCAGTCGAAGATGACCCAAGTCCTTGGGCCCCTGAACCCATGTGGGAGACCGGGAGGAGGCTCCTGGCTCCTGGCTTCGGATCAGCTTAGCTCTGGCCATTGCGGCCAGTTGGGAAGTGAACCAGCAGATGGTTCTCTCTCTGCCCGTCCTTCTCTCTGTGTAACTCCAACTTTCAAATAAATAAGTAAATCTTTTTTTAAAAAAATTCTATTATTTGTGCACCTTTGTCTTTATCATAGAATTTTTTTTTTTTTGACAGGCAGAGTGGACAGTGAGAGAGAGAGAGACAGAGCGAAAGGTCTGTCATTTGCCATTGGTTCACCCTCCAATGGCCGCCAGGGTTGGCGCACTGCAGCCTGCGCACTGCGCTGTTTATCATAGAATTTTAATGGGGTTTCAAAGATAGGGAAATATTAACCAACCTTTACAAGTTTCTTATTCTGAAATAATTGCAAGACACTACAAGGAACTCTCATATGCTTTGCATGCAAACTCATCAGTTGTTAGCATTTTGTCAATTTGCTTTACTAATCTCATTCTCATTTTGTTTGAACCACTTTTAAAATTTATTTATTTATTTAAAGGCAGAGACACACGAGAGAGACAGAGAGATCTTTCCTCTGCTAGTTCACCCTCCAAATGCTCACAACATTTAGGCTTGGGCCAGGAGCCCAGAACTTGGTTCAGATCTCACATATGGGTGGCAGGGGCCCAAGTATTTGGGTTATCACCTGCTGCCTCCTGGGGTACATGTTAGCAGGAAGCTGGAATCAGGAGCAAAGCCAAGACGCAAACCCAATCACTCTGATATGGGATGCAAGCATCCTAAGTAGCATCTTAACTGCTGTGCCAAACCCCTGCCCCATTTGAAACATTTAGAGTAAACTGAGACATCAATTTCACCCCTGAATACTATATTGTGTATTCCCTAATAGCACTCTCTGCCAGGACAATTCAGTTATCTAAATCAGAAACTGTAATAGGATTATAATGTTGCTATCTATTACATAGCCCATATTCACATTTCACCAATTGTAACAATAATATTTTTATGACCATTTCTCCCGATCCAAGATCCAATGCAGGATCATTCATGACTCAAGTTGCCATGAGTCTTTAGTCTTCTTTCATGTGCCACAAATCCTTAGTCTTTGTCTTTTTTTCTTGTTATTATTTGAGAGGCAGAGAGAAAGAGAGAGAGCTCCTCTTTGCTGACTTACTCCCCTAAATGCCCACATTGGCCAGGGCTTAGTCAGGACAGGAACCATGAGCCAGTAATACACTCCAAGTCTCCCATATAGATGGCAGGAACCCAATTACTTGAGCCATGGCCACTGTCTCCTAGGGTCTGTACTAATAGGAAACTGAAATTGGAAGCAGGAGACAGGAATCAAACCTAAGCACTTCAAAGTGGGACATGAGTGTCTTAACCTCTAGGTCAAACACTTCTCCTCTTTGTCCTTGATGACATTAATACCTTTGAAGAGTACAGGCCAGCCATCTAGATCTGCCTACCTCAAATGGAAATTGTGGGGGATGACATTGTGGTGTTGCAGGGAAAACTGCCACCTATGACACCAGCATCCATTTCCAATCCAGCTCCATGCTAATGGCTGGGGAAAAACCACAGAGGATGGCCTAAGTATCTACTTAGGCCTCTGCCATATATGTGGGAAACCCAGACAAAGTTCCTGGCTCTTGACTTCAGCCTGGCCCAGCCATTACGGCCATTTGAGGAGTGAACCAGTAGATGAGTGCTCGTTCTCTCGCTCTCTCTCTCTCTCTCTCTCTCTCTCCCTGATTCTTTTTATAAATAAATAAATATTTTAAAAATTGAGGTTATGCATTTTTTTGCAGGAATACACATCATGTTGGATCCTTTCCAGGGTATCATATTAAGCACAAGATGTCGTTTCCCCCATAGCTTGTGACGTTTGTCTTAACCATTTGATTATAATGGTATCCACAAAATTTCTCTATTATAAACTTTTTTTAAAGATGTATCTATTTATTTGAAAGTCAGAATTAGAAAGAGAGAGACAGAGAGAAAGAGAGAGAGAGAGAGATCTTCCATCTGCTGATTCGCTCCCAAGATGGCCACAATGGTAGGGGCTAGGTCAGGCTGAAGCCAGGAGCCAGGAGCTTCTTCTGGATCTCCCACATGGGTGGCAGCGGCCCAAGCACCTGGACCATCTTCTGCTGCCTTCCCAGGTTGTTAGCAGGGAGCTGGATAGGAAGTGGAGCAGCCATATGGAATGCCAGCATCACAGGCGGCAGCTTTGCCCACTACAGCACAGCGCCAGTCTCATAGGGAGTTATTTTGACACTGTGTATATATTATGTTCCTCATTACATATTTACCTTCTAGCTTTACCATCTTTGGCTGATCAATTGTTTTAAAATGGGATATATAATTTGTATATAACAAAATTCATTACTTTAAATTATACAATTCAATGGATTGTGCCACCATCACCACTACCTAATGTCAGGATATTTTCATTACCACCCCTCCACCAAATCCTGCACCCATTTGGAGTCCCTGCCTTGTTTCCACCACTGCAGCCTCTGATTATTTTGTGTCTGTGGATTTGCCTGTTTCAGATATCTCATAGATGGAGTGATACACGAGGTGATTATTACCATATTTTCAAGGCTCATCCATGCTGCAGTTGTTAACAGCATTTTTCCCTTTTTATTTACCTAAATCAATAATATTACTGTGATGCTTGAAAAATGATATTCCATCTCACACTTACTAGGCAGCACTATTATCAGCCTTTGTAAGGAAGCTCTTTAAGGAAAACTGCGCCAGTGAAGTTCATTTAAACAGACAGAGCTCCCATGCTCTCAAGTAGCTTCCAATCTTAGATAAAAGAGCTGACGAAGACCACCTTTCTCGGGTTCCCACTTCAACACCTAGCCAGGCATTGTTCTCTTTCCGCCTGTCACCCCCGGAGGCTCCTCCCCCTCCTCCGGGCGCCCCCGCCTCCGCGGCTGCAGGAGGAGGAAGTGACGCGCCGGAAGTGTCCCTGTTCCCCTTGCAGTGGGGGAAGGAATCAAACTCCCAAGATGGCGGCGGCGTCGGAGGAGCGGATGGCTGAGGAAGGAGGCGGCGGCCACGGCGACGGCGGCCCCTCTTGTGCTGCGGGCTCTGCCCAGCGACAGCCCCTACCGCCCCCGTCCCAACCCCCGCAGCCGGGGTCCCAGGCGCCCCCAGCGTCGGCGCTGGCTCCAGACCAGCTGCCTCAAAACAACACGCTGGTGGCGCTGCCCATCGTAGCCATCGAGAACATCCTCAGCTTTATGTCCTACGACGAAATTAGCCAGCTCCGCCTGGTGAGGCCCCCGTGGGTCCCCTTCGCCATTTCCCTCGGGCCGAGGTTCAAGGAGGGGCGGGGAGAGGAGCGCGTTCCCCAGGGAGGGAACCCCCCGCGAGCCCTAGCCGGTGCCAGGTCCCGGAGCGCGCCCCTCCCGCCCGGATCTCCCTCGGCGACCGTCTGCGGGAGTAGGCTGGTCCCCGATTGCGCCCTTGCTGCGGGGCCGGGGGCCACTTCCCGAGGGAACTTCGCCTGGGAGGGGGCTCTTTGCCCCCTGCCCGGAAGTGAGCCGGCCGGCAGACTGGAGCGGAGTTGGGTTTCCCCATCTTCCGGACCTGACAGTGGACCCCCGAGCGGTCTTGCCTGCCTTTTGTACACCGCCTTCCAGCCCCTGGCCGGGGTTGGGGGAGAGAACTCAGAAGTAGGCAAAAATCCCAGCCAGGCTTGGTTTGTCTTGGAAGAATAACGTATTGTTCCCCCAACCACCCAAGTTTCCTTGTTGGAGAAGAGACAGTAGGATTGGTCAGTTCCCCCAGACCCCGGTTCAGAAGATTCCAAACGCGTTTTCGAGACCTTAACCCCAGCGCCCTACTTGACCACGAAAGTAAGGAAATGACCATTCCGGTTTTGCTTCATCCTGACATTTCCCATTCTCAGTGAAGCAACTTGCTCCTTCACAGGTTCTCTCAATTAGTTCATTAGCTAGTGATTCACACCCACTCACCAGTTTTAAGAGAGGTTTTAAGTTACGAGTTTGCCATTGGGATGTTACTTCACTCCAGAGATTTGAAGGTTCGATAAATATCTTAGTTCAGCCAGATATGTTGCTGCCATTCCGTGAATTTGTCTTTAAGTGGTAAGGAGATTAAAGAAGGTGGACATTTTGAAATGATTGCAAACCAAATCTGTGCAGAAGCTAAATCTGGGCTCTGGATTGTTTTTTGAGAGGACAAAGACATATTTCTGAATGTGCTGTGTATAGCATTTTTTATTCGTCAATATGCCATATTTTAGTCTTACATCTCATTTAAAATATAATTATATTTTTAAAGGAATTAATACTTTTTAGAAGAAAAGTTGCAAATATTTCAAACTGATGGTAGATTTTTTTTTTTGTCAACATAGCATTTCAACCATGCCAGTCTAAAGGATGGGTTGAAAATAGCTATTTCAAAATTGATTATCCCTGATTTTTCAAGACATTTCATACAGAATCTTAAAAATTCCTTCAAATTTTTACAAAGAATGATGTTTGATCCAAATTCCTGCTATACATTTCATGGACTGGAAATTGGGCCTAATGTGATTGAATTGAGCCATTCAGCCAGACAATGGCTTTATAAAGCTTAGAATGTTCGCAGTTCTGTTTTACAAGTGTTGTAGAAAACTGTGAGGGTTTCTTTGGTTGTCATTTTACCTTTTTAAAATTAAAACATTTTGAAAGGGGAGGAACTACCCTATCCAAGGAGACAGCCAAAACACATTGCATGATTTATTAATAAATGACATCCCTTTCAATATTAAGTGAGATATTCACCTTCGTGCTTAATTTTTAAGCAGTTGGCTCCTCTCACCTTTTAAGGTTACAGATTTATACTTTCAAACACAAATTTTTCATAGAAGTCCCTTTATCACCACCATCACCTCGCCCCCAGGAATAGATTGTGCAGCCAGTTTTCACATCTGCAAATGCAGTTTTCTAGTAACAGGAACTATTGTCTTATTCCTTTCTTTACTGAAGGTTAATAAGTAATTCTTCAGTAGGTTAAATGGATAATCTTTCATGGGGATTTGGAAGTGTCTTTGGTTGTAGGTTCATTGGTTTGGTGTCAAAAGGTACAATTCCAATAACATTATAGAAGAAAGATGTTCTGTCCCACCACTAGGTGTCAGCATTAATTTAATTATGATCTTTTTATGGAATTTGCAGTCAGGAGACGGTGTCTGGTGGGTGCTTAACCTGTCTTTCAACTTAAGTGACCATTTAGACCTAAGCAACTATTTACCAAAAAATCAAGATACTTTAGTATGTATGCTTGCTGTCTGGTGTATAAATTACATTGTTCCTTTCATTGTAAGATTTTACATTTTTTTAAATGGAATTAAGGCTGGGCATGTTTGAATATTATTTAAGGAGAATTAGGATAGCTGACATAAAGATAAATATCATCTGTTTGGCGGCTGATTAGCTAGTTTATGTATTGTATGTTATTCAGGTGTGTTTTTTTTTTTCCAATTTATTTACTTGCCTTATTAGGACTTCAGTCGTAACTGTTAGCACCAAATTTATAGACAGATAATCTATGTACTTATTAATCTGATATTTAAAAGATTTGCTGTAAGCTAAAATTGCTATAATACTTTTCAAGTATTTGTGTGAGTTAGTTGATAATAGTTTTTGAGACCTGTTAACATGGGTATTTGAAATTTGACTGTCCAGTCCACTGATTCCAAGGGACTAACTAAAAGCCGTATTAAATTGAGTTTTTTCCTGCCATTGAATATTGCGCTAAGAATGTATCCAGAGCTTAGAAAACTTGGTTATACAGAAATAGTTTTAAGTATTCAACTCTTCTTCTGTATTTTAAAATTATTTGGCTGAACACAACTTTTAAAATGACAAAACATGTACTTTGAGTTGTTTTCCAATAAAACAGACAGATTTGTGCTGATGCAGCATTATTATGTCACCTAGGCCCCCTTGATAGATGTATGAGAGACTGAAACAAGTAGCAAAGGTTAAGTGAAGGCCTACCCTTAGGGAACAGATCGAGGATAGCTTTGAAAATACAACTTTTGGCTCAAGAACACAGTGCTGGAAAATAAGTACAGGAGGCTTTTAAAAGATGATTTGGGAAATTCAAATGTTTCCCTCTGTGGTTCCAAGTAGAGTTCCTGTAAATTTAATGAAATCCTGCTAGTGGTTAGAACATGAATTTGCCTGAAGGTTAATCGAGAATTCTGACTTATTAGTTGAAATGAAATTTCCCATCAGCAATAACACAGAAACACATGCTTTTGTCCCAAGACACTTTTCTAGTGCACTCCAGCTAGTTAAATCTAATACCTGTTCATAGTTCCTTTTACATGTTTCCTTCAAGTATGTTAGAAATTTTCAGGTGGGTTGATCAGTAGGAAATACTAAGGGGTCTTCAAAAAATGTTTGGGAAATGAAATTAAAAGATATAAATATTTGTATTATCTCAATATAACCTCCAACAAGTGAAAGAAACTTTTATACCAGACATTAAGTTCATCACAGAAGAACAGAGTTCTGAGAATGTAACCATGTTAGTGATCCTTATTAACTGAAGAAAAATGGGTGCCCTGTAAAGATTTTTTTATGATTTGCAAACAGATGTCTGAAAGAGCCAATCAGGACTGTAAGGTAGCTGCCTAATGATTTCCCATCAAAATCTCACACACTTGCCCTTACCCGAGAAGAGGAATGAGCGGGAACATTGCCATGTGGAGAAAAACTCTGTGAAGCTTTCCCGGGCATTTTACCGCTGAAAAGCTGACGTTGTGATTGTTCTTTAACCCTCCAGAGAGTCAGCAAGTAAAAAGCCTTGAGCTTCCCAAAAAACTGTTGCCATGACCTCTTCTCTTGACCTATCTATATGTGCTTTGACTGGACCACTTCCACCTCTTGATGTGGTCTTTGCTTTGATGGTGCTTTTTCTTCAGGATCATACTGGTGAGCCATCTTCATCTCCTGTTACAGTTCTTTAGAGAAATGCTTCAGGATCTTGATACCATTGTTTCACATTTCCATTGAAAGCTCTGCTCTTGTTAGCAGCTGATCTGGGCACAACAGTTTTGGCACCCATCAAGTAGAAAATGTATTCAGCATTAATTTTCTAGTTAGAATTGTGTAAGCTGAACCAGTTGAGATACCTGGTGTTGACTGTTGTTTCTGTTGTTAATTGCTCATCCTCTCCAAGTTAGGGACCCCAAAATACTAAGTTTTTTCTCACAAATTGATGTGGGTGGTCTGCCACAGTGGGCTTCATCTTTAACATTCTCTTCTTGTTCCCTCTTCCAAATGAGTTATCTGTTTGTAAACAGCTGATATCGTTGTATACAAAAAAGATGTCCAAAAGAACTAATCGGGGCTGTCCATTGCCCCCATTAACTTTTTGTAAAGCATCATTGATTTTCTATTCTTTCACTTTGTTTCATCGTAAATTTGCTGTTTATTCTTGCTTCAGTTATAGAATTCATGTTGGTTTGATAGGGGCTCTTTTCAAACTTGTTTTATCCTTAGTGTGTCAAATTAGATCCTGTTCAGGCACGTTGTTACAAACTAGTGCTAGATATTTTGGTGCAAAACATCCATATGTAGTTTTTTCATAATACACATTGCCTATTTACTTTTTGAAGGTTGCACATATGGAGGAAAATTAGGAAGTTTTGTTTGTTTTTTGCTTTTAAGTAGATAAACTATTCCTGTTATCTCTCACTCTATACCAGTAGTTTTCAAATTTTTTTGTCTCAAGATACCTTTCTACAGCCGGCGCCATGGCTCACTTGGCTAATCCTCCACCTGCAGCGCCGGCACCCTAGGTTCTAGTCCCGGTTGGGGTGCCAGGTACTAGTCCCGGTTGCTCCTCTTCCATTCCAGCTCTCTGCTGTGGCCTGGGAGGACAGTGGAGGATGGCCCAAGTGCTTGGGCCCTGCACCCACATGGGAGACCAGGAGGAAGCACCTGGCTCCTGGCTTCGGATCGGCGCAGCGCCGGCCATAGCGGCCATTAGGGGAGTGAACCAACGGAAGGAAGACCTTTCTCTCTGTCTGTCTCTCACTGTCTATAACTCTCTCTGTCTCTCTCTCTCACTGTCTAACTCTGCCTGTCAAAAAATAAAAAAATAATAATAATAAAAAATAACTTTCTACTCTTAAGTTATTGAAGACTCTAAGAAAATTCTAGAAAACACATGAATACACAGCACATATTCCATTAGCTATCAGAACAATAATGTCATCACATTATTGTATTGCCTCCTGGAAAACTCCACT